TAAAGTATTTTGAGTAGAAACCGTTGAGGGAGTCTGAGGTAGGGACTGGAAAAATGGCATGTTTCTGGAGATGTTTGGTGACCTCGTCCTGCAAAGCAGAAGAGCAAGGGGTGTATCGAATGAACCCCAATGGAGGTAGTTCGGAGAACTCTATGAGGTAGCCAGAAGCTATAATAGATAGAACCCACTTGTTTAAGGTAATGGATTGCCAACGATGGAAAAATGGGGCCAACCTGGTACAGTTCACTGGGCAAATAGGGATATCAGACAAGGGAGGCATAGGTAGTTGTCAATATTGCTTACCCTTTCGTTGTCCTTTCCGAAAGGATTGGCGTTGATGAGGTAGGGTTTGAGGACGGTATGATGCCATCAAAGGTTGAGGGGCAGGTAGAGACCTGTCAGCTTGCTGGGGGCAATATTGCCTATAAGGTTGGAACCTCTGATTTTGATATTGCTTTGGATGATACTGGCCCGAATGGTAAAAGGGCCGTTGATAGGAGGAAGACGGTTGGGCAGAATAAGAGCATGCAGTTTTACGCTTCTTATGGAAGTCTTCCATGGTGTCATCGGTTGTGGAGTTAAACAGGCTGGAACCGTCAAAGGGCAAGTCCTCAATTCTCGACTTGGTGTCATCAAAGATTGTGGAGGATTTAAACCAAGCATAGTGTCGAATCGAAATAGAGGTGACCAGAGTTTTAGAAGCGGCCTCAGCGGAATGTCGCGCCGCAGTCCTCTGATACTTAGTGAGTGAAATAGCTTGTGAATGGATGTTGATGAGGTCGGATCTCATGGGTTCAGGAGAAGATTCAATGAAAGGAAGGACTTGATTCCAAAGATGACGCTGAAAAGCGCCCATAGTTGCTTGATAACTGATGCTTCTGAGTAAGAAGACTTGCAGAGAGTAAATTCGTTTGGCCATTGTGTCGACTTTCCTGCCGTCCTTATTGGCGAGGGTAGGTTTGGACTTAACCTGAGTTCTAGCTTGACTAGACTCAACAATGATAGAATTAGGCACTAGGAATTTGGCATCGGCACCATGGGTTCTACAGAGGCCATCGGTGCGGCGAGAGATCTGCATGATTGAAGGGGGTTTTCCCCAAGTGTCCTTGATAAGTTGAAGAATAGACTTATTGAAGGGGAGACTCAAAGGAACAGGACGCTCCTGATTAATGTCATCGAACACCGGGTCGGCATCAGCGGACGGGGGTTGTTCAATGTTGAGATTCAGGGCTTGTGCCATCTGAAAGACGAGGGTTGAGTAGGAGAAGTCATCCGAGGAGGATCAAGCATGGCTGCCCCTCGTATCTGGGATAGGAGGGGGGAGGTCGGGCTCATGGGAGGACTGAGATTGTTGTGCCTCCGAGGATGCAGGGGAGCCTGGAGACGAAGGGTAGTCCGATGGGCCAAAGCCTTCCATCGGGGGAGCTTGATGCCCTTGGGGTAGCAAGTCTTCGAAGGGACCCTGAGATGTTACCGGGTCCAGCATCGAGGGTGCAGGATGCACTGGTAGGGCCTCGCGAACCTTGTCTCGCATCCGTTTCGATGGGACAAGGAGGCGAACGGGCGGAGCCGAAACTGCCGGGGCCGAGGCAGTTGCACGGAGGTGGCTTGAGTCCACAAAGGGAATGGCATGGGGGAGTTCTGGTGTCGTTTTTGGCTGTTTAGCCTGCTTAGGCTGAAATCTCTCGTACCAGGATTGCCACATGAGGGGGTCAAATGGTATGGTACGATTGGAAAAGGGCATAAGTCGCCTTGCAATGGGATCGACCTCGGTGGAGAGAGATGCTTTCATTTCTCCATTCTCTTCCGGGGAGGCGAAGGGGGAACCTCCAGGTCGGACGCCGAGCTTTCAGCTGCCCGCCCTGAGTCAGGGTTGGAATGGGCTGAGACCGGGCTGGACTGTGGTGCAGACACGTTGAGGCCAATGCTCGGGGGTTGGGACGGCATCGTGGGGCGGCGGGAACCTCATGGCCATTGTCTCTGTCCGAGGCTAAACCAGGGGCTTCTCTGGATGATTCCTCGAGGATAGGGGAAGGCAGAGAAGACTGAGGGGGCTCCATTCTGGGAAGTTTGTCCTTTCTGGGCCTCTTAGAGGCAGGTTTAGGTTTTTTCTTCGAGCTAGGATTGTGAGCCCGAGACTTCTGAGAAGAGGGTGGCTTGTGCTTACCAGACGATTTTGCTTTTTCAGCAGTGTTCTTAACTGGTAGCACGGAGGTAGAATCAGAAGTAGACTGGCCCGCTGGAAGTCTATCGGCTGAGAGAGCAGGAGATCTAGCCGCTTCCAAAGACAAAGTAGGAGGATTCATGGCTGTTTGCTAAAGGTAAGACCGAAGTCTTTGGAGCCTCTGTTTAAGTGCCGGCTTGGTTAAACTTTTACAAGCAGGGCACGAATGGGTAGGATGTTCCTCACCCAAACAAAAAAGGCACTGGTTATGCCCGTCAGAAAGTGCGATTTTATTCGCACAGGTCATACACCTTTTAAAAGGAGACGGTGAGGCCATAAGCAAAAAACTAGGTAAGGGGGGGAAGGGGAAAAAAGGGGGGAAAGAGAACAAAAAGACCGCGGGGAGCTGATTAGGCAAACAAAAGATGCGGAGGATCACTAAGTAGGTAATTTAAAGTAAAGATAAACAAACAAAAGCTCAAAGGAGCCTAGAAAAATAGCCAAAAGGCAAATAGCGAAGCGCTCAATCTTTCCTGAGAACCGTTCAGCTTGGCGGAAAAAAGGAACTGGGGAAGATGGTGGGTGGGAGGAGCATATACCTCGTGGAGGATCATACCATAAAATTGTTACTTTTAGCTCTAGAATCTTCCGAGAGAGTCAGCACAGGTGCAGACAATACCCATATGTGTGCATTCACAGAGGCCACGAAAAAGAACCAGCATTTCAGCAGCCTACACTAAGCACTGTCATTATACATTTTTTTAATAATCAAGATAATATATATTGCAAGAAAGATACTCACGATTTATTTTCTGTGTTGTGATTTCCTACTATTACGTCCAGTAGTTTATGTGCAAAGCTTTTTGCTTTTTCAGCCAAACCATGTTTTAAATCTTCGCAGTCTAAACGCACCATGGGAAAATGAGCTATCATTGGCAAGCTCATTATTTCCTTTGCAAGATCCAAGAATTCATCTATAAACTTGGAAACAAAATTATTTTTAAAAATTTTAGCTGTATACATAAATAGTGCTATAATCTCATAATATTCACCTAGGTGTAAGTCCCTGTGAACTCAGTGCACCTTGCTTATGAGGAGATTAATTAATCTGAATTAAAATACTTACATTCATCTAGATTAATCTCTGTAAAGGTGTCCCAACACAATATTTTGTATATGGAATATAAAAACAAAACAAAACAAAACAGAGGAACTTACAACTATCTGGACTAGCTGATATCTTAGGAAAGCATCCTGTCTTTTTTTCATTCATGGCATAGCAAATCTGTTCTAAAAAATCTTCACTCTCCTATGGCACCACTTTGAGATTCTCTTTTAGATGTTTCACCCTCCTCCACAAGGACAAAACATTTTACTCTTCAACAGTGATATTGTAGCGTCCGCGTACATTGTGACTATTCATATGCTATCTACATAGACCAATGGGAGTGCTGGAGGGGCAGAGTCACAAGATATAAGAGACTCAGCAGGAGGAGAGGGAATTTAGATAGGGAGTTTTGAGATGGGGAGATTGAGGGTTGAGAGAGTTTTGGGGAGTTTGGGCGGGAGAGTGGTGGTTGAGAGGGAATAAAGGAGGATGTTTGTTTAAGAGTTAAACATTGCTTGTCCTATCAACATCTGTAACAATAAATAATGTTTATTTCGTTCTTTTAAAATGGCATATGGCATGGACCTCGATTAATAATAATAGTTAATGTTGATGTAATCAACTGGTGGCAGCTGAGGGGCACATAGTGTGAGCTCTTAGTTTGGGGAAACAAACAGGGGCCACATGGGGATCGTGACACATATTTTATTGCAGACAAAGAAACAGTCATGTGGGCACTCTAAGACATTTTCACCAAAAGGGCTCTAAAAATAACGTCCTGGAATTTCAGCCATTTGCCAAGTAAAGGTGTTTTAATAGACAAAAACAACTAGGACAGAACTGTCTTAACAAACCCATAACATTTTACCACTGGAGTGCCTTTTTGGCTCACCAAAGGTAATGTAACACAATACAAGAAAATAAAAAACATGTGCCTTGAGAACTGAACATAACCTCAACTCCAACTGTACTGCTAATTCTCAACACATTGCAATTTCATGGAATTAGAAAATAGTTCATTACTCAATGTAATTTTTAATTTTATTTGTTTGTTTGTTTGTTTGTTTATAATTTTTTACCCTGCCTTTCTCCTTAAAAGTTCCCAAGGCCGATCAGCTGTTGGAAAATCGTTGCTTTGCGAAGAATCGGTTCCTGATCATCGCAAAGTGAAATTCCCCCATAGGAAACATCATTTTGCGATTGCAAAAGCGATCGCAAAACGTTCATCATAATGTGGTTGCATCGTTAAACGGGGCAATCGTAAAGTGAGGCACCTCTGTATAAACAAAGCCACTGAATGTTTTGCTTAAATTCTGCAAACATATGTAAGATTATTGTAAACAACAGGCAAGTGATGGAATGAATATTGTACAATCATATAGCACCATCTTTTGGAAAATGTAAATACATGAACTTTAGGTTCTTCCTGGCATCATAAAACATTAGTTAGAAATGGCTATAGCCCTATACCATATAAGAAATGGGATTTAGTGGGTCAGCTCCTCTGTAAATTCCACTGATTCAAATGGGCCTGCTCTAATTGCGATTTACGGTGCACAAGTAAGTTGGAATAGGCATGTTTGAATCAATAGAATCTATTGAGCAGGTGGTTCACTAAATCTCCATTGACTGAATTAGCTTACTGTAGTGCAATTTACTATGCTAAACAATAGGATTTTGGCCATCAATTATGAAAGCTAAATAAATTCCTTCTTGTTGTGATGTCTGATATTTATAATCCAAGACATCTCAATCAATAGAAAGATCAAAAAGATATTTTTCTTTTTACAAAACAAAAGAGAAGCCTCTGAAAACTGGACTTCAATACATCTCAAATTACAGAGCTTAACCTGTATTTTGTTTTTTGGTCAGTGTTTACCATTGAATTATGGAAACATGTACTGTAGTTCAAAAAACCTAAACTACTAGAAATATCTAAAAGGATATAGTAGTAGTAGTAGTAGTAGTAGTAGTAGTAGTAGCAGCAGTAGCAGTAGCAGTAGCAGTAGTAGTAGTAGTAATAATAATAATAATAATAATCATCATCATCATCATCTCATCATCATTCAACCTTATCCTGTCACAAAGGTCACTGAGCCTCATCTCAGCAGGGAACTGGGCTCCATGACCCTTCCAACTCCACAAATCTATGATGTTGTAAAATGGGTGATTTCAAATGTACTCTGCAATGGGTGAGGCACTTTCATGCTAGCAAGAAAGGTGCAATTTGGTACACACATATAAGCAGATTGCTACCAGCTGAAAAGGCAACATTTTGACATCCAACAAACAGCAACAGAGCATGGACAGAGTTCCTACTCCAGTCCTCTGAAGATGCCGGCCACAGAGACTGGTGAAACGTTAGGAAGAACAACCTTCAGAACGCGGCCAAAGAGCCCGAAAAACCCACAACAACCATCAGATCCTGGCTGTGAAAGCCTTCGAGAATACAAATCAGGACATTATTTTTTTTTTCTTAAAAGATGCCAATTCCAAAACAAGCCAAGTTGCACAGAGAATAATATGTTGAGCTGTGGATATTCCACTGCCCTTCAACCCAACTGAAGGAGGTTTGTATCAGATTTGTGAAGAAATTCAGACAGCAGTCAGGATACAGTGGTGCCTTACTTAACGGGCGCCCCATTTAACGACGAAATCGCATACCAACGAACTTTTTGTGATCGCTTTTGCGATTGCATTGCGATGTTTTAAATGGGGAAAAATCGCTTTGCGGTGATTGGTACCCTGTTTTGCTTACCGATTATCGCAAAGCGATGATTTTTTAACAGCTGATCGGCGGGTTCCAAAATGGCCGCCGGGTTAAAAAAATGGCCACCCCCTGTGTTTAGGGACAGATTCCTCGCTTACCGGACAGCGAAAATGGCCACCATATGGAGGGTCTTCGTTTAAGGTCAGTTTTAAGCCCATAGGAACACATTGAAGGGGTTTCAATGCATTTCTATGGCCTTTTAAAAATCGCATAGTGACAAAATCGCTTTGCAGCAATTTTTGCTGCACCGATTAACATTGCTATGCGAAGCACCACTGTACATTATTTATGCTTTCAGAACACATCCTGGATTCACTTATAAATTATACAGAACAATTACCTCTGCATACTCTTCGAAGTTATGTTCCTCAGCTACAAATGTTCTTATACGGTTATCTGCAGCACCATCTACTAGCCAACCATACTTCTCTACTGCAAGGCAACAGTCACAATTTTTTTTAAAATCAGATGTTATTTCATTTTGCAAGTTTAATCTGAGATTATTTCACAACACCAGATTTTAAGCCACTCACCATAAGAATCAAAATGTGCTTTTACACCTTTCAAGTTTTCACAAACTGCTTTCTTCAACACAGAAGATGCCCATGATATAACATGCTCAGGAAGTTCAGTATCAATAGTTGAAATTGTGGTTGTACCACCTAACCAAGAATGTATAGTCTGGACATTCTGGAAAAAAAACACACCCAAATGTAGGTTATCTATGGGCTGTAATTATTTATTTCATAATAAATAAGAACATATTGGCTGAAACCCTGTTAGTTAGCATAGTAAGTTGATCTGAAGTAGACTCACTGCATCAGTAGAGACTTGGTGAGGCAATTGCTCCATAAGTTCCACTGATTCAAACAGACCTACTCGCCTTGCAACTTAGTTTAGGGATGGGTCCTTCATCCAGAGTTCTGCCACTGAATCAGAAACCTCACCGTGATGGAAACGGCATACATGCCCTTGCTTTTGCTGGTGGAACTGGGCTGGGTGCCTTTCTCCCTGTACAGCCTGAGCATGGAGAAACTCTATGGAAATTTTAGCAGACCATGTATTCTCTAGATTCCTGCAGTTGTTGGATTTTGAACTTGCTGTACCTGGGCTTCTTATTTGAATCCCCACCCCACAACATCTTTAACTGAAAGCAAAAACTTCAAATTTATATGGCCTTAGATAACATGGCAGCTGACTAGAATTGTATTATGCCAATATTATGTTACTTTTCTGGGCTGAATTCAAAGTGCTGATTTTAACATACAGTATATAGGAAGCTTCCTGCTTCAGACCACTCATGTGAGCAAAGCAATGATAGAGGGCAGTGACACAAAAACACTCCTCTCCTTGCCTCATATATAATGTCCAGTGTGGCTTCTGAACAATCCTATTCTTTAGATAAATGAGGAATGCACCCTACGCCTCAAATGTGTTTATTTTAATTTTGTAATGGCTTTTTTCTCATCCAGGGAGAAACCAGATCCCCTCTAAATTTGGAATCACTTAAATAAATGAATAAACCCTGAGCAACTATAATCTCTTGCACATTTCTTACATGGGGGAAAGTCCTACTGATTTCCATAGGGTATGCTTACATGAAATGCATCTAGCACTCACATGTGAGATATGTGCCATCTGCATACAACTTGAAGATTTAACTGAAGACTATGGCAGTTATTGACCAGTATTCTGTGATGTTATATGTCTGTGGAAGGGTGATCACAAGAGCGTGCATCATATTCTGGCAGGTTCCTTGTTGTATGCCCAGTCTTTCACTGTTTGCAGGATAGGTTGTGCAACTGCTTGTGTGATCAGTTTGCACAATCGGGTGCCAGGCAGAAGTGGGGAATGTTACACAACTGTCCTTATGCTCTGAATAAGATGCTGACTATTAAGATTTAGTACATTTTGCCATTCTGTCAGAATTGTTAAGAAATAACATAAATCTAAATTAACCTGCAAAGTTTGTGCAATCAAAGTGACTATAAATAAAATAGCATCCTCCAGATCTCGAAAGCTTGGGTAGAAGTCCATTTTTTCATCATCAAAAGTCAGCTCCATCTTAAACAAAGGCAACCACCTTTGATCTTCAAAATCAAACAATTGCACATAAGCCTCAACAGTTCTTTTCAATAGTTCCTTCAGCTAAAAAGAGAGATTACAGAATAATTTTGTTACATGTGACAACAAATTATCTTTCATCACTCAGAAAACCTACATATGTACTGATAGGAACTATCCAGAAACATCTTGTACTACTGCAGTTTAAAACGCCGTCTCCTACCATATTTCTAGTTGAATATGCAGAATTTCAGATTCTATATAAATGACCATTCTGAAATTGTCTATAAAGATGGAACTTTAGAGCAGGGTCGAGAAGCCTAGTCTACAATATGTCGCTTGACTGCATTTCCCATCAGCTGTAGCCAGAATAACCAAAAGATGAAGGCTCGTGAGAATTGCAGTCCAAAAGAGGGTAGTTTCATCAGTCCTGATACTATGAATCATAAAACATCTCTTACTACTATTGACCTAGTGCAGTTACATGCAAATAAGGGGACAGCCAATGCAGCCTGTGAATTTTGTCTGTTTCTGGACCCTCACTGATACCATTCGTGGTTTAAAACTTTAATTTTATTTATTATGGTCAGAGACCAGGAAGATAAAAATACATTATTTAGATAAAATCACATAAGATCAGAGACATACCAATACCAGACTGATATCATTTAGTTTATTCATTCAAACCATTTATAACCTCTTTCTAAAATACTCAACACTCAAATTAAAGAAAACACTGATTTAACCACACCTAAATAGTATAATAAAATAGAATGATGTCCTATTAGCAAAAGTTGGGATACCAAATGGGACCTATAACAAAAACTAGTGTTAGCCACCTATATTATTTCACATGCTTATCCAGTGATCTCTTGCAGGTACAGTTTCTTAAGTGCTGCTTCCGACATACGACCTTTCTCATTCATTTCAGCAAAATGTAGCACTAAGAGTGCATGCCTTTACATATGCTATTTGTTCACAAACTTGAAAATGGACATGCCCCCAAGGACAGCATGTAGCTATGAGACTTCTATAAATAATTAGAGCATGTACCTATGAGACTTCTATAAATAATTTTGTTTTAAACAATGTTTTGTGACAGATGTAACTACCAGAGTTTTCTCAATAAAAACTATTTGTACTATCTTAAGTTTTAACTAATTTTAGTACACTTCTGTACTTGTTTTTAATGTTAAACTGTGATTTTTTGAAAGCAGATCTGAGAAGTAGACAAGCGCAATGGCTTCTCAAAGTAAGAATAGAACTATGATGCTGAAAAGTTCAGGAACTGCCAACATATGATAAATCATTCCTCTGTTGAAATTAATGGAAAAGCACAGGAATTATAAAGTTGCACTGGAGCACACATGGGTGTTATTATTATGGCAAGCCTCTCATGGTGATCTGAATTTTTTTTTACCTGATTAGACATAAGTGTAGTCACGCAGTTATAAAAAGAATCAATTTTGTCATGCTTTACACCCTCCAGTGCTTCTTTTCTTGTGAAGAGATTGATGACCCTTGGATACCATGTGTTTAATATCTTTTCTTCCGTTTTTAAGCAGTTTATAGACACATCAGTCTGAAGTGATTCACATTCAAGTGGACCTCTTGATCTAAACATTAACAAAGTCTGAGTTGAAAAATAGAGATTGTATAAACAAAACCCAGTTACATAACCCTTAATGAAACAAAAACCACAAAGAAACTTGCATTTTAATACATATGTATTAAGATGCTAAGGACCACATTTTACCTGAAGAACAGAATATTTTTAAGTACATTGTTGCAAAAGATTTACTATCACACAAAATCAAGTAAAACCTACAACAAAATGTAACCAAGTGGAATGTTCTTTTCTGAGTTACAAACAAGAAATTGGCCAAAATGCTATTTGCGTAAATTTCTCCATTCAAGTCAGATGACATCATAATCTCCAATGGCACAAATTTATGCAAGAGGATTTTGCCCAGTAACATACTCATCCAGAATCTCCATTCCACTCCCCTTCCTCATTGGTCTTCCGTTCTTTTTCTCCAATCGTCAGTTAGTCAGTGAGCGTACTCAAATGTCTCTGCTGTTTCAGGATTCTCCTGTCCCTTTAGGGATAATTTTCCTAAAAGGTTTTCCTAGTTTTTTTTAAATTTAATTTATTTATTATAGTCCAGTTACCAGCTCATAAAACATATTTATGGCTAAAATATACAAAATGCAGTTTAAAAATGTACAACCAATTCATAAAACATATTATGTGGCTAAAATATACAAAATGCAGTTTAAAAATGTGCAATCAGTTCATAAAACATATTATGTCCCTAGTTCTTTAAATATTGGGATTCCCCAAAGCCTGCAAATACTGCTATTTTATAGGTGGACATCTAATTTTTACCTACAAAAAGGTTCACAAGGAGAATGTCATGTAGGATAACGACAAGACATCAATACAGAAATATTTCATTGTGGGAATGTGGCTGCTATATGCCTAGCTTATCAATTAGGTTGCAAGCACTTATTAAAGAGGAAATTTCAATATATTCACTGAGAATTGCACAAAATTCTGCCATCAATATGGTACATTTATTTCTTTTAATAAAAAAAAAACCAAAACTACAATTTAAGAACACAGTGTACCTAATTAGAATTACACAGGCATACATTCTATATGTAGGATATAAATTTAGATACATATATTTACCTGAAAGATGACAAATCTACTATAAGTAAATTAGAAAATGTCTTGTAACCAATATCCAGTAAAATTCTTAGAGTTGGATGGAGAATGTGTAAATTTTCAAGAATTTGTTTTCTTGCTTGTATAAAGCTTTTGTGCCAAGGCCTGGAAAAATCTAAACCACTAGAAGAATAAACAAACAAACAAACAAACAAACAAACAAGATGACTGAATAAAATTTCCGAAAAGTGAGCCAGCTTGGTTTATCTCAAGAGACATAGGTTCAAACCTCCCATTTAGCTGTGGAAATTCACTGGGGGGCAGCAATGGTAAAACTGCTCCTTAAATATCTTACATACTTTGAAAACCCTAATAAGGTTGCTATGACAGTGGACAACAATAACAACAATGAAAAAATGCCATACTTGTGATTAAGAGATACTAAACATTATTTCCTGTCTTAATCACCAAAATTGTGTTTGGATACGTCAGAGGGGGGAGGGAAACAGTGTTTTTTATTTTATTTATTTTATTTATTTATTTGATTTATATCCCGCCTATCTGGTCGGGTCAGGACCACTCTGAGCGGCTTCCATAAAAAGTATACAATAAGCATAAAAATTTTACAAATAAACAGCACCACATATAATAACACAAAAAGAAAAATATGTTTCACATAGTCATCTGGAGTATTAACCACCTTATCTTGTATCAGTGATTATCTGGGTTATTATCTGGGATTAATAATTATGTGGCTGCAAGTCAATTCCTATTTATGCTGCCTCTTTCTAGTTTTTTTAAAAAGGTACAGTGTATTCGGAAGTAGTTTACCACTTCTTTCTTCTGGAGGTGCCCTAGGATAGTGCCACTTTCCCAAGGCTAGACAGGCCAGCTCTTCTTCCTTTGCGGCACAATGAAAAATTGAGTGTTCCAGCTCACGGAACTGTACTACAGTTGAACCAAAAGCTTCCCCAGGAAGTCTGCTTTCCCTAAACCTCCATGAAGTCTAGTTTTAGCACTGGACTTAAAAAGATATTATGTCCCTAGTTCTTTAAATACTGGGATTCCCCAAAGCCTACAAATACTGCTATTTTATAGGTGGACATCTAATTTTTACCTACAAAAAGGTTCACAAGGAGAATGTCATCACCATTGGCATGTAGGATAACGACAACAGGATAGCAATACAGAAATATTTCATTGTGGGAATGTGGCTGCTATATGCCTAGCTTATCAATTAGGTTGCAAGCACTTATTAAAGAGGAAATTTCAATATATTCAATATATAAGCAGCCCCTTATCTCCAAAGAGATTTATGGGGGTGCCGGAGACTGGGATGAGTCCGAAATCCAGACAAACCTCTGACTGCTGAGCAGAGCCACTTAGATCTCAGCAAGGTCCTGTCTAAACTTCTTCCTCAAAAGCCAATCTCCTTTATTAAGAAAGCAACTCACACAGACAAATCCATGAGTTATACTCAGAATAATCTGGCTCTAAATCTTTGGTAGCAAACACACATGGCCAATTAGACATTCAGCTAGTCTGTACAAGAACCAATGCATGCAAATCAAATCATTACTGCTTTATTAAAAAGAATTGCTTTAGTAAAGGTTTCAGTTGATGGTAAAATAGTTCAGTAGGTACATTTTCATATCAAGACAAACGGAATACTCCCCTCCCCCACTCCAGCTGGAAAAATAAAGAAATAGAATTATGCTAACTAATAAAAAGCATAACACAGTCCATCTCACGGGTCTTGGGTCTTCATAGGCTGATGCTAGATGAAATCCAGTTGACTTTCATCAGTCCATGGTAGGAAAAATAGTCCATAGCAAAGCTACAAACCATTATGGGAAAAAGCACGTGTCTGACCTTTCTCAGTCCAACTCCATCTTTTTCCAACTCCCTACCAA